TGGTGGTCTTGGAGATGCTGTAACATCTACATTGGTTTTTATAGAGAACGAAATTCAATTTCCACCAGAGTGGAGAATTTACATCATGGAAATATATGCAAGCAACACACTGGTTTTATGTGTAATCTATATGCATGTAGCAGTTTTCCTCCATCTCTTACAGGTTGTGGCCCTCAGTGACTCCCTCAACATGGCAAGGTCACGACTTACCAGCTGATTACACACTGTGGGAAACTGTAAACCACACTGACAACAGACTTCATCAGAAATCCTACAGAGGAAAATGAATGTGAGGGTGGAGTGTATAGAGTATAGAGGTCACATTGCAGGTTTGTGAAGAGGTGAAGCGACATAAACGAATTCCATGTTTACTTAAGTAGCTAATCAGAGTGTCACAGTCAGGCAATCAGAGAGAGATGGGAGCCAACGGTCAGGTCCTTGTCCACAGGAACGGCAACACTCAAATACCACCATCTTCATGCAGCCTGCTGTGTATGAAATGGACTGAAAAAAGCATAGCCTACCTGTGTGTTTCATGGGAATGTGAAAGAGATGAGACAATTGAGACAATGTGGCAATCATTTAATTTCCTTATTTTAGATTTATTTTCTTGGTTTATTGGACAAGATTTTCCTTTCTTTGTTCCTTTTTTGATTGATGCTACCTTTTGAATCCTTCTAAATGTGATGTGGCATGCCATAAGTTAACAGTACTCCGACAATTGAATAAAGCTGTAGGACTCACAAGAGACAGAAAAAAGGTAAAGACTGATGGAGCAGAGCCAGGTATCTCCTGAACTTTAGTCCCAGATATGGGTCAGGGCTCAGAAAACCCCCCTGTTTTTAACAAAGGCTTTGTCAATTTTTAATGGAATCTCGAAGCACAGATAACCTCTCAGACTTGACAAAGCTCGTCCAGAGCCATACAAGAACTTATTCTGTGATTATATTTACAGGCTGACGAGTACTTTTTTCTCCAAACATCGTTTATTGATTTTCTCCATGAAATGACAATGGAGAAAGATGCACAACAGAACCCCATCCACCCATCCCGACGGTAAATACCTCCCCCCAAATGATTAGAAAATGACCTATAAATAACCATAATAAATACAAACATTAAGAATAAGACCATAATAAAGGAGAGCAACAGCAAGGTGACTATATTAATTAAAATACCTAATGTAAAAGAAAGGGCTCCCAAACCCACAACCCCCTTACTAGACAACATTGTGGGTAGTGATCTAGTGACAAAGCAGCGTTATTTATAATTTTGGAACATTGCGTGCCATAGTCCATCTCCTACCTTCTCTTCCTGTCTCTCTCTCAAACACATGCACAGTCAGAGCACAGCTGCTCGCTGTGAAAGAAGCACCGTCTGTGTGCACGGTGTATGTACGTATGTTGAGAAAAAGAGACGCAATGTTCATGTCTTTAATGAATATTTACTTGTTTTTCTGGTATTCAAGTTTTGTTTTAAGTATGAGCTTTCACCTGTATTAATAGATTACCATTATTGGCAGGGTCAAAACTCTCTCATTTGTATATCTGGGGGGGACTTAGTGGCGATTACGCGCATGGGTAGGCCCAACAGTTGAATGTTGTGCCATCCGGAACGAGCTTCCAAGTCGTCACATTTCTTGTTCAGAGACTCAACTGCAGCAGGCAGCATACCAACATTAGGTGAAACTAAACAGCTGGTTAGCATGCTCGATAGCTGAATGCTCCAGGTCCAATCTAATCCCCCACTGTGCAGTATCTTTTCTCCATTGACTTCAGAGCAGTTACTTTCTTTTTAACCAACTCTGAAATTATGGATTCAAACTGCGAAGATTTTGGCCCGGGTATCGTCCATCAAGTACTTAATGCTCCTCAGGATAGTTTCATTAGCATCCAGCATCTCTGGAGAATCAGGCTCAGGAGACTGACATGGCCTATTGCGACTGGACTTGGCCAATTATCACGTCCTACATCGTCTGTGCTTGTGAGTGCCCCCTGAGAATTACTTCTTATGACAAATAGAATTAAAAAATATATATATAAATAGAATTAGATTTGTGTGAATTCGGCATTTCTTACTAAGAATTACTGTATGTTGAATGTTGATTGTATGTGATATATGTAGGCTTAGTTATTTAAGGCAGGTTACCCATCACTTCTTACTAATCATTTAGATCATAATATTAAGGTATGTATTAAAGTATGATGGTTGTTTGCACCATAACTCCTTGCAGGTTTTGTGAAAAAAAAAACGACACTTCTTTTTAAATGAATTTGTCTCTCCAAAACATAGTAAACTGATATAATATAAAACAGAATATATGTTTGCCATGATTCTGGTGAAAGTTATTATGCTGATGTTCTCATCTGAACTAAAAACCGAATTTTCTTTGAGAGCCGACTTTGTGTATGTCTAATTGTTACATTTTGCCATTGTCATATGAACTCACCTGCAATGAAAGTGGATGTGGAAAGCTAATGCAGATTTTTTCCCCCGGTGCTCCACCAGGGCGTCTTGGGAAATATATGTTACATGTCTTTAAAGGACAACACTACAATGGTTATATGCCTATAAACTTGGAGGGGATGGTCCAATCAATTGGAAGTGTGTACGAGATTAGTCCATCTGACTCTGTCTCTGTCTGAGCGGCGACACGTGTCTCCTCCTTTTTGTAAATCAAAGGCTGCGTGACAGAGGAGCAAGGAGCATCAGAGAACACCTGTAGGAGAGCAAACAGTCTCAGCCAGGACTGCAGCGTTAATAAAGAGGAAAATTAACATCCATGCCATCAAATGTGTTTACTCAAGCTGGCAGGGAGTTAGGAGGGTGTAAGCAATAAAGGGGGAGAATTTGTGTGTGTGTGTCTGTGTGTTTGCACAGGAAGCATTCATTTTGATACACATTATATTATGTAGAATAATGTAAGAAACAACACCTCTTAAAATATTCTTTTTTAAAACAGCAGCCAGCAGGTTTCCCATCATCGCCAACACACACACCTCAACACACCTACATACACCCACTCTCACTTTTACCTGTTTGCTCTTTTGTTGCTGCCTGGCAGCAGGGAGAGTTTATTTCTCCTTGGGCTCTTTTATCAAGTGATTCATGCCTCTTGGATGGGATGGCACTCTAAATGTACTTTGATTTAGGCAATTAAGCCCAAGGCCCTGTAACTACTTTGACAAGTCCTGATTTGTCTAGCTTGAACACAAATGTGACTGTGATTGGCTGATGGGGCAGTTGCAGGGCCACTGCATGAACATAATTTATTGTCACAGATGATTTTGCCCCATTCCAACAAAGTCAGTACAAATTCTGAGTTTAGTAGGTAGAGTAGGTAATGGAGAGAGACGAATGTTACATGAATTGGTTGAACATTAGTAGAAAGATTGATTTTTGCTTTGGGCATGATCATAAAATTATCATATATCATAATCACAAAGTTTACTGTTGGGTGTGTTGTGGGAACGCCACCAAAATCAGATGCAGTGCAGGATTTTGGCACATGTACAAGCTGATGTATGGTATTTCTCCTGAAAACACAACATGTGAAGACAAGGAAAGCATTTGCATACTCCAAAACAGTCTCATTATCATCCATAAACCTCAGACATTTTCTTCACATGTCTGTATTCTGCTTTTATGCATCCCAAATGTGTTTCATCTATAGTGTTGCTGCAGTGAAAAGGTAGACTGACTCAAAACAGTACTGTCTGTAGCTTTCTTCACTAATCAAAGCTTAAAAATTGCTTTATTAAACTTTCAAATATGATTGGTTGGAGTACTGTACTGTGTTTACAATATTCCAATATTTTAGCCAAACACACTTGTTGAAAATTTAATCTCAGGTGTCAAATAGGCTTCTTTCACCTGCATGTGTGAGAGGAGTATCTGGGGGTGTGTTTTCCCCCTCTTTTGATAATGAATATATCCATATGGACATAAAATGAAAGATTTTGTTTTTGATGAATTTATTTAGTGTGTTCTAAGACATAGCATTCATAGGGTCAGACAAAATATCTCACGTCATACCTTCCTGACTCTTATCTCGCTACTTCCTAGAAAGGTCTGTGCAAAAAGATAAGGGTACGGTAAAGGTTGAGAAAATGACACGACGTAAGATCTCTTTTAGGGAAAACAATGTAATGTTTCATATACTGTGTTCAGTCAGTATATGTATTTACCCAGATAAATTGTTCAAAATATCTTACAGTTTCAGCTTTTCATCTTCAGCATTGGAACCACAGCTGATAACAAATTATGGTTTACTCAAGCTGGCCAGTCATCGTAACTGGGAGGGCTGAACAAAGACAGGTTTGCAGTCAGCCTAATTGTCATTTTGGTCCGTGTAATTATTGTTGTCGGCAAACTTGCGAGCTGGCAAGTCTTTGAATTGCTGATCTGTGGCAGGGAGAAGAGGTAAACATTGCCTGAGCCTAGAGACTCCCTGAAACTAGGAAGTGAAGTCACACTGCAGAAAGGAAGCACCAGCTTCCCCTCTATTTTTGTTATATATATAAAAATAATGCGAATCCTATAAATTATTTTGGGGCCAAAGTATGTTTAAAGAAACAATCTGGGGGAAAAATGGTTTTCATTTAAAGACCGAGACTATTCCAAAGACTGTAATACTGAATGGTGGAGAATTTTATTGTCCTCTCTCGGCACTGTTTCTGAGGCTTTTACAATCTGCCAAGGATTGGAAATATACACCCTGTGCTTTGTTCAGCTTCTTTGGTGCCTCAGCCATCTTAACAACCACTAATATAAGAAAAAGAACAGGGAGGACCTTACTCTTAAAAAGACCAGAGCCAAAATCAGTTCTTTTCATTATTTACTGCCATTTAGAATGACAGGTGCCTCAACATGTCTGCCAATAAAATGAGGTGAACAGAGTTTGTCTCCTCTACATGCAGTGAATTTAAGGGGTCCTTGAGGTGTTTTTTAAAGATAAAAGGTTTATAAAAGAATAATGTTTAAACACTCTTAGACAAAACCAATATTAAAAACTTTTATTCAACTGTTTTTTTTTATCAGGCTGGAAATAATAAAATAAATAGAAATGCACCAAATGCTCCCAGATGGCCTAAACTTTGAATAAAGATTGTTTCAATTGAAACAGAACCCTCTGCATCCACCTGGCTTTTGGTTGAATAACAGACTCAGTTATTCAACTTTCCTGCCCTTAACATTTCGACCAACTCTCAAGACAGGTCTGATTTGCATTAGAATATAAATTCCACAAAATGCCCTTTCATTCCACTTTGTTGCATGCCTGTTGGTGAAACAGAACAAGCTATAAGTACCATAATAAACCCCCGTTCCATCAACAAGTGTGAGGCACCGGTGCAAGATTGTTCACAATGTAAGATCTCAGGCCTTTCATGCTTGGTGGAGTTACTTAGTGGCTTGAAGCGGTGCAGGAGGGGGGTGCTGGGGTTAAGCAATTAGTGTGTGAAATAGATATCCTCTGCTTTTCCAGCAGCCAGCCCCACTCTGCCCCGAGTACAAAGTGTTAGTCTGTCAGCAGTACCTTGACAAGAGGAGAGTGCTCGCTGTTGTTTGTGCTTGCCTGGCGACCATCTAGTCTGATTATATGCTGCAGTGACTGGAAGGGGGCTCTGTACTAGCTGTGTCATTTCTCTCTGGTGACTCAGAGCTTTGAGGAATCTATAAAAGTCAAGTTACTTTGCACCTCGAGTTGTTTCTTCCTTGTGGTTTTAGCATTAACACCTTCTAGAACAGTAGCACTGTTGCAAAGCCGTATTTACCAATTTGGAAGACATAATTCAATTCTCAATGCCTGGCTCCAACACACTCAACAACGGAGTCATTACTCTGTGACATTAACAGTATTAGTGTTTATTATGAAGATTGTAATGCACATTTTACTTCTTTTTTTTTTTACTTATCATAGGTTTTTTTTTAAAAGAATGGTTTACACAGATATAGCCAGGCTATTCGTGTTACTTTGGCCCTGAATATGATATGTTTGATGAGATCAGTGAAGGATGAGCCTCAAAGGGGAAACAGTTATAATAAAATCTCATCTGTAAAATACAATTAAATGATAAATAAATATGTTTTTCTCTCCGTTTTTTTTTCATATCAAATTGTCTTTACAAATTGTGCCTGTGTCATAAGAACAATCATTTACAGTGGTTACAGCAGAATATTTACAGTGTAGTCAGGAGGAATGTAATTTTTTTTAACAAAGCTTAAATTCTACATCCAACACAGTTAGCTATTTGTTTTAATATAAAACATTGTTAATAGACTTATAAGTGTGTACAAAGAAGTGCAGCTTCATAAATAGCTTGAGAACTTTAAGACGGGAAAGAAGCATACATTCACCATTATTAAGAAATGAAACAAAACAAAACACTTTTAAGTAACTAAGCCTACACCTTAGACATGGTTGTGCTAGGAAAATATTCATTGCTTTTTTTGTGGGCAAAAATATACACTTGAAAAAATCAGGAAACCCAGCCGTCATAAACAGTGATGGACTGTAATTGGTGCTTACATGTCTCTAGTTTTGTGCTTTGCATATATTATCATTACACTTGAGCATCCACTTCCTTTGAGAAACCCAAAAGGTTATTTAAAAACACTTGCAACTAGTTTTGAAGGTATTTCAGAAACATTTAAGATTACTGTTCATCTGGATTTAAAAAAATCTTGTTCATTGAGCAAAATGAATTTTTTTAAAACCTATTTCAAAATAACATTGTAGATATATAAATTGATAAATATTTCTGATGATATATTCTTTTAATTTTGGTAAATGTACAAATTGAGACAGGAGGTGCTTACTTTAAGATAAAATCTTTTACTGTCGAGGAAATACTTTAAAAAACTTTGCAAAAACAATTAATTACATTATTGATCAATCTGTTAATGGATTAATATTTTTCTTTCTACAAAATATTAGAAAATATGCTGTAATTTCCATTATCCACTATAATTTTATTATAATGGGAACTGCGAGGAGGCCAAGGAAAAATCCTCACAGTGCTGTTTTTGTTTACCAACAGTCTAAAACCCAGATATATATCATATATAACAAAGCAAAACCTTACATTTGAAAAGCTGAAACAAAAGAATGTTTGGCATTTTTGTATGAAGAATGACTAAAAAAATAATGGCTGATGATCAACTGATTGTTTCAGTTTTAGTTAAATGACCTTCTTGCTGCATAAAAGATTGCAAGGGATTTATCTTTCAGAAAAGCTGATGCTTTGGTCTTTAACCTTAAATGTAGTGATAAGACACATGACAGGCACAGACTAGGGCTAGCGCATACAGAACATCAAATTGCAGGGTCAGCGGGGTTGTTCAAACGTCTGTGTCCAGTGGGGGAGGGAAGTCGAGACATGGTGACAGAGAGTCTTGACTGTGTGTGGAGCTAATCCCAGTGTCTGAGTCTGTGTCTGTAATGTCTAGAGGGGACAGGCTGTGTTTGAGTTTCACTGTCTGTGAGATGCTGCACTGGGTCTCACTTTGCAGAGGGACAGGATTGGACTGCTCCTCTTCTTCTCCATCCCCAATTTTCAATGAGCTCAGGTGGGCAGCCAGCTGCCAGCACTCCTGATCTTTGGAGACCAGCGTAGCATCATAGTACTTCAACTGCTTGTCTATTTCTGCAGCTTGGTTGTGCAGGGACAAACCAGTAAAGAGGCTGTGCTTCAGTTCCTCTTCCAACCTCTCGAGTTCAGAAGTATAGAGCGATTTGTCCGTCTCCAAGGGGATCCAGGAAGCAGCAGTGGCTCCTTCCTGTTCACTGTTCTCATATTGGCTGAGAGGGAAGTTGGCCCGCCTCAGCTCAGCATCAATATCCTGGGACAGCTGGAGGATGAGCTCCTGGTGCCTCTGAACCTGCAGTTCAAGCTGTTCGACTCCATCGCTGGTATACAGGTACTCCTGCAGCTGCTCGTTGCTGTGCATCTCCAAACCTTGATCGCAACCCTGAGCCAGTGGACTCTCAGACTCAGCTTCCTTCTCTCTCAGATCAAACCGCTCGATCTCCAGATCCAGGTCCCTCATGTGTTGGATTTGCTCTCTGATGGTGTGGTCCTGGTTGAGAATAAGCTGCACCATCCCATCGATCTCGTCAGAACCTGAGGAGCTCTTGCTCTCCTTGTGAAGCTTTTCCAGCTTCCGGAAAGCTTTCTTCACCATGCGCTTTTGCCTCTCCACAGGCACAGACTGGGTGTACTGAGTGCGACTGTGATCCCATCGCTTTGGCTTGGCCCCCTTGGCCTTTCCACCCTTTTTGGCAGGCTGACTCACAAAATCACTGGTTTTGACTAGAATAAACTGGATGAAGGGTCTCTGGTCCCCCCAAGCATACCAGAGTCTCAGGATTCTGGTGAGAGGAGGCAAGGCTCTCTCAAAACCCTTCCACCGCTCAACAAGACAGAAATCTTTGGTTTCCCCATGCAGGAGTCGCTTGCTCTCTGGGATTGACTTGTGATCATCTAGTAATGCCTGAATCATATCTGCACATGTTGTGTGTTTTGTTACCCCACAAACAACTTTCTCCTCGTTGCAGACAGTAACCTGAATCTCTTTTCCAACCACAGGCTCGGCATCCTTTGTCCTAGAAAAGAGAGAGAGAAAAAAAAGCTTATACAGTAATTGTGGCTTTGGGATGAAACATAATAAGAGTCTTAACCCCTTAACATACAGGTTTCCCCTTAAGTAGCTTTAAAGTTGTTAAAGTTCATGCTACACTGTCTGACAGTATTGTGTCTAAAGCTCTATGATGTTTACATTGAGTACAATATTAAAACCCAAGACTCCATGATTTGTGCATCATTTTCTACACATTTTACCCAAATTCAGACAAGCATTTTTGGTATCTTTGGAACCGTTTGGATACAACAACATCAGATATCCGTAAAAACACATAAGTCATCAATCTTGTGTAAAGTGAGACAATTGCACATTTTTTAGACTGTGTTTCATCTACTGTGATCATCAGGTCAAAATTTGAATTTGTCCAATACTTGGGTTTATGAGTAAATGGCTGCTGACATTCCCATCAGCCTGGGCGTTAGCCAGCAAACAAGCTAAACTAAGCTAAACTCACTATGGTGAACATGGTAAACATTATACCTGCTGAACACCAGCATGTTAGCAGAGTCATTGTAAGCATGTTAGCATGCTCACATTTGCATTTACCTGACAGCAGAACTGTGCCTGGGCACAGTCCTACTCGGGCAGTAGTGTGCCTGTAGACTCTTTGTCTCATTGACCTTTCTTTAGACAGCAGACAGTAGAGAGGTGACAGGAAATGAGGGAGGAGGGAGGCCATGCAACAAAGGTCCCTGGTCAGGCATGAACCAGGGATGTTTAGATTACATGATCAGTGTCTTGAACAACTAGGCCACCCGGACACCCCAACGAAAAAAACACTTTATCCATGACTTCACCTTAACCTTGGTCAAAGAACCATGTTTAGAAAAAGTTATGTTCAAATGCTTCACAAGCTTCTTTACATCAGCAGTTACAGAGCTGCATTTTGAAGTACAACAAAGACAGTCTCCCACTCATGCTGTTGGAGTCATTCCGCTATTCTAAGTAGTATATTTTCTCAAATACATCCTACTTTGATGGTTTTCCATTAGGTCAGTGAGCAGAAAACTACATTCACTCATTTTGTGCTCCCTGGCTTGATTCTATTAGACTGTTACTCATCGTCTTAGTCATCAGAGATGATCACTTAATGGTTTGGTTCTAAGCTATTTAACCCCAAGGCCCTCATTACCTTTTTGTCTGGACCGTAAAACTTGCTCAAAAATTGACCTCTGATGGACCGATGATATCCATTTTTTATGTGCTTAATGGACCACCGGTAATATCCAGGACCTAATATCCAGTCATTAAATGATAGGCACCGGCAATGCAGACGTCCACAATATGAACAAGTAATCAAATAAGTAGATAACATTGTCAGACATTTCAATTTGATTTCAAGATAAAGAATGATGTATCGTGTAATCACTTATATGAAAGATAAAATGTATTCTGCTATTCATTTGATAAATTAGGTTAACTATGATGTACTGTAGGTGACTGCCAAGTTTCTGTCTCAGTAAATGACTCATAGTTAAAGTTAAAGCCTACAGTGAAGGCAAAAAATAAGCGATATATAATCCTCCTGTAATTACAGACAGTTGAATCTCAAAGAAACCAGAGAAATATTATCCATACAATATCACAAAGAGACAAAAACTGGAGCTCCACCTTCAACACTCAACTGCAGACTGATTGTAGAGGTCGAAAGGAATGTTGGCCTGTGGTTTTGCAACCAAACAGGCAATAATTCATTACACTGTTAACAGCAATATATCAGAATAATGTGCTTGTAATCCTGGTTAATGTCAAGTTTCTACTGTCCACAAAACTGAATCTCTAATGACATCATTGAAGGACTTTAGCTGTAGGTCAGCAAGAGACTTGTTCACATTATCTGACATAAGTGGACAGAAACCACAAGCCAAAATGGTGTTTAAACAATATATATCTATTCTATATGCCCTATCTTCCATTTTTCATTTCAGTTCAGTTACATTCAATGATTAGTGTAAAATAGCCTTATCTACGGTATATTTACAAAAGAACCTGATTAAAATCAAATACTATAGGTGTTCAGTCTGGCTATCAAATGTAAAAGTTGTTAATCGCCTTGGAATGTAGTAATGGTTTAAGATCTGAACCTTGCTTCATGTAGCAGCGGTCTTTATCTGAGGAGATAACCTTGACTGTGGCTAGCATTAATCTCTGATCATCACAAGGGTGGGTGGATAAAAACACACATCCTCTAAAGATGACACAGATACTACCTGCATACTAACACAAGTGAGATGTGTAAGAATTATTCAAACAGGAGAACTTGAAAATGCTGCATTATCTTGCAGTTTGCTGTTTTTACAGTCTGATACCACTATGTTTTGGTTCCCACACAGCATGAAAACATACAACTGAAGCATTGTGTAAACTGGTGGTGAATAAGGTCTCAGGAATGCGATACGTATGCAACAATGCAAGAAGCTGGTTAATGGTTATGGAGACCCTTAGAGACAACCGGGGGAAAAGCAAATACCTGAGCTATGTGCAGGCCAAACAAATCCAGCACGCCTCCGGCAATCAAAGACAACGACCACAACGTCTTTGACAAGGCTTAAATAGTTGTACCTCACTGTAATATGTGGGTGGAAGGATGGATGAAAGAAGAGGCAAAAAATCAGGAAAGGAGGGAAGACGGGATATAGGGAAAAGAAAGAAAAGAAGAACAGGATCAGGGCACTATAACTGCACTAAACAGCTTTTTAATATGATGTGATATTTCCTACAAATACTAGCACTGGTTTAAACATGTGACAATCGTCTCTATGGTCATATATGAACATACAGATGAATAAACACACTACAGACAATTGGGTATTTCAGAGAGGGCGACCCAAGCCCTCAGCTGTACAGGAAGAGGGTACAGCAAGGCAGGGAAACACCTGTATTTGTCCTGGGCTACAATCACCATGCTCCGACAACATCCTGCCACCACAGTTCAATGGACAGAGGGAGGAAGGGGAAAAATGGATTCCATACTGATCACCGTGGTCTGTTTTTAACTCGACTCAAATGTGAATGAAGTGTTGACAAATCTATGACTGGCAGCAATATCCACATTTCAACTGCCTGGAAAAAAATATCTAGCAATATCAAAAATAAACTGATGTCCATGTTGAAGTATGTAAACATTTCTCAGATGCTAAACTGCTCTGGAGACCAGTATCATGTCAATGATTTATGATTTTTAAGAATGCTAAGTAGCTGACTGTGAGTAAAGAAAAATATTATTACTACAAATAAAAGAAAATGGGAATTTAGGCCCAGTGGCACCTGTACGAGGAGCAAGTGGTAACAACAACAGCTTACTGTGATATATCAATCAAAGAAACTGTCATAACGTACTATTCTGCAAGTCTTAGCACCTCCTTAATGGAACAATGATTCACATAACTGCCACCGAGACAAATTAAATGAAGAAAATTGGATTACAAAAGAGATACTGGAGTATTTTTTTTTACTTTGAACTGTTGTAGATTGAAAGTCAAATTCCTTATTTTCTGAGGACAAACATTTTGATAGTGGCATCAGTCCAAAACCCATAACTCTCTCTTGTCAACTCCCTGCCAGGACAAACACAAATACTGCACACACCATTGGGCCGACTGCATCGCAGTTAATATGTTCATAAGGGCTGTCACTCAGGGAGCCATTTGATATTCATAGCTTGGGATTTGGCTGCGGTTCCAGACGCAACAAATGGGGGTACCCTCATAGGTCACAGCATTGGCCGATAAATGACACTGATATTGTGATAAACTCAAACATTCTGATTGGAAATGTGCCAACAGAATAAGTGTGTGTGTGTGTGTGGGATGATTAATAGAAATATTTAAATACAAAGTTCTTGTCATAGTGAGGATGGATGCTGTGCAATGAATAACACAGGACGGGTTAGACCTCAACATTTCACACTTGAGTGAACCCAAGAAACCTGAGCAAACCTGCTTGACCGCGGTTTGAACTTAAAAGCTGAGATACCCAGTGGGAGGAAACCAAATTTAAATTGTATGAATTTTCAGCAGTTTTACGCACGTTTCTACGTGGGCCGATTACAGCTCCATGGGGTGGCATGGCTCTTATCCATTGTAATACTCGTAATGACAACCTTGTAGACATTAACAACTCCCTCTGTGTCATAAATTTGCAAGCTACAAGTTACCACAGAGGACTGCATGCTGGTGGTTTGAACAAGTCATAACAAATGACAGAATTATAGCTCTCTGGTGTCAGCGTGTTTTCTCAGATCAATAGATATGATAAGGTGATGCGAATATTCCCAGCAGAAACAAAGCTGTGATAGCATATACAGCAAATATATCCTGTAGCCACTGCTGTCATCAGGTTCTGATTTTCTTGCTATCGAATGAAAAATTAAATAACTTTCAGATTAGTCTGGTGGTGATAAAATGATAGGTTTGCTCTTTCAACTAAAAAATAAACCCGTGCTCGAAATGCAGTAAAACCTGAATTACACTGTAAATCATTCTTGATGGGAACTTGTTTACCTCTAGTGATAGCCAGAGGGTAGATGCTTATGGTTTTATTGCCCACATTTTAAGATATCAATATCTGAGATTACTGCTGCCACCCCAACACAATGATAGTAAATAGGCATTTGTTTATGGTGCTCACAGCAAAGAAAAAATACATTTATACAATTACATTATACTTATAAGTAAAAAATAAACACAAAATGTGGCTGAGGCTAATTCAAATTGCATTGTTCTTGCAGGTATTTGTATAATTTATATACCATAGTATTGGACAAATATAAAATTTGACTTAATGATGGATATATGGAAAGTTTCACCCTGGCAGGAAACATCTCACACCTGTGTGTTCGTGTTAAATTTAATGACAATGTCTCCAGTCTGAGACATATAATTTAAAAACATGAATGTTATAGTGGCACCAGAGGAAAAGCCAGTTGATAACCAAAGTTGTTCAATGGCATCAATCCAATAGTTAGTAGAAGTGTGGCAAAAAATGTAGACATGATATCTCGCTCTGTGTCTTTGTTACAAACTATGCAAACTAAACAAAAGCTAAGTAAGAAAATGTTTTCTTGTTTTGATATTTGAGTGAACCAACCCTTTAAAATCAGTTAAAAGAAATCTGAGTGTCTGCTGTAGGGTATGGCACATCACATTACAGACACATGACCTTTGCATTGTTTCCCATATAGTAAATGTTAATAACATCAGGCCATAAAACTCCGTTCAGGAAATGCTAATGCATTCTTTTCATCTAATTAAAGCAGCTCTGTTTTCAGGCGGACCACCACACAGCTCGTAATTTACCCATAATGCTGGAAAATGTTTCATCCGCCCTGTCTGTCATAGAATGTATGGAACCATAGAGGGCCATCATACCATTCAACTAAAGTTAAAACAAATGACCAACATTGAATTAAGGGTACACAGACTGTAGCAGAGAGACCCTGGATGCTGAACAGGAGACACTTCCTCTTACTCTTATCTAAAAGAGGATGAGGGATTGGGGAGGAAATAACATCACTTTTCTATCTGGATATGTTGATATCTGGGATGACTCCCTCTGTGATAGGCATCTGTGAGCAAAGACACAACACACACCCTTCCCTTCGCGTCCCTTCGCCTCTGAAACCACCCACCCTTCTTACCCACCGCTCTAGCAGGTCTGTGAATCACCAAATAAGCTTTTGCTCAGTGAAAATAAATGACTTATTCTCTTTTTAACACAACTGAATGATTTTATTGTATTCTGTGGCCTGCTAATTTGTGTTAACCAACAATTTCAGCTGCTAATTGGTCCTGTGCACAATGCAGTCATGCTGTATTGTGGCTAAGAGCAAGATTAAGTGGAGGTGGCCACTACATTGCTTTGGTAACATATGTCACTGTCTGGCAACGATTACATTTCAAACCCTTTGAGGCCTGCATGTGCTCTTTCACTATAGGACAAGTACGACACAAAGGACTCCCTGATGATGCACTGTGATCCTTTGATGGTAAAGAGTGTTACAACAAGTGTTGTCAGCTGTAATTAACAACACATTAAAGTTTTATCCTGAAAGTTTGTGTCAGGTTTGATGGTTCTACTGACTGCAACTCCACATCAGCTTCATCTTGTCACTCTTGAGCAAACATCCAGCTCAATGTGTCAGCGCGAGTAAAAGCGAGTCTATGAAATCAAGCGTTTGACATATCTACAGATCTAAACACTTGAGGTAATTATAGGTGCCGCAATGGCAATTACCACACAACATGAAAAAAATAAGACATCCACTGGAGACAGCCTCAGTCAGACTGTTTGAAGTTATCAAAGATAATTCATCTCGGCTGTGCGTGTGATGTGAAAGTACATCCATTTTGCTGCTGGTGCCACTGTCAAAGAGTTTTTACAGTAATTTAGTATAAAAGCCTCTTTTATTTCTGAACTTAATCCAAACCCTTTCCGCTAAGTTTGGTGTTAAATGAGAGTCTTAATGAGTAAAGCTAATGAAAATAGTTCCGTACCCACAGTTAAAACCTTCCTGATCCTGGTCTTGGCAACTTGAATCCTGTCTGCACCCTGACAAGGATTGGATCATGACCTAGATACTCCAAAAGAGAAACTCTGTTTACCAACCCTGCACAACAACAGTCTACTATCCAGCTATCCAAATAGAATATCTGTACCAATAACAGAGCTCAGTTTGTGGCTCAGTGAATCTAATTTTCCCACCTTTTCAAAGCTAAGGCTGGATCTCAGCTGCAGCAAGGAGCACATCAAAAGGCCAAGCTAGCCACTCAAGGAAATTGCTGAGGCAAATTATACAAGCGTTGATGACAGGATTCCTCTCAATCTATAGTAAGAAGGACTAAAATGTATATCAAAAACAACAACTTTGCATTAATTACAGAGCAGGTGATGGTGATGAAGTACAGTTAATGTACAGTACAGTGTTCTTTGACAGGAATGAGAGAACACCTATTAAAGGGCATATTTTACTCATACTTTCCATATAATAACAACTCACAACTACAAGCAAGATTATGCTTCTTACATCAGTGATTTAATGAGATTTTAAGTATGTGGGGAAAAAGTTTTTCAAACGTTAAAGATGCCCAACACACACACACACACACACACACACACACACATGCAAGACAGCTGATGTTGGTTTAAAACAATAATGGAAGGGTTAAAAAATACATATTTTACAAAGAAATTTATATTGTGTCCCTTTGGTTCTTAAAGGTATCCTACGGTTCAATTTACTTACTTAAAGGTATGTTTTATGTCTCACGGTATCACCTGTTAATATATTCTGACTTTGCATTTGGACAGTAGCTTGCAATATCTCTCTAATATTACTGGTAAAGTAAAGGATGTAATAACAAAACTGCATTAATAATTTAGCCAACTTTGCCCCTTGCGCAGCTTACTCATAAATCCGATGCGCAATGCGTTGTGCGTAATTGTCACTCTTCCACAGTTCAACCCAGCGTTTTCCAATAGCCGAACTCGGGGAAAAGACACACTCACACATACACAGGGTTCCCGTCAACAAAACCTCAGTCATCAAATTACCTGTTTTTCAGTCGAGCTTTCAGGAAGTTTTTCCCAAACGGAGCCATGACTCAGGGGCGAAACGAAACCGAGCAGCGATCCGAAATGTGTTACAGTCCCAGCATGGCAGAACGTCGGACACTTTGTGGAGTGTTAAAAAAGTTAAGGGGTGTCCCGACTGCAACTTTGTCCGCCCCATCCGACAAGCGGAGGGAGGTGTTTCTCAGACTATACTGAGGAGTACTGGTGAAACTCTGCCCCCTTCCACCTGCCTGAACAACCTGAGAAACCACAGAGAAATGATAAAAGATAAAAGTAAATGCGTGTGGCAATTCAAACAAAGTCACAGTGTTCAGTGAAACGTAAAAAAACAAAACAAAAACAAAACAAAACAGGTCGTTAAATATTGTACAGTAAACATAAACAAAACCAATGAGCACAACTGTACATCTTACTTTTCATTGCAGTTCAAATTTCAAACTTGAACAGGAAGCCAGTGGATATATTTGTAAAGTAATCTAAAAATATGATTAGAGTCTTCCTGAGCTGCAGTGTAGGACATGAAGCTGGAAATTTAACCTCCAGGGGTTTGGTAACTGGCTCTCCCTGCTGGATTCATGTGACAAAGATGAAATTCAGACATGAGAGGAATTCAGCCTGCTTTAACTCCACTCTTTAACACGACTGTGCTTGCTGTTCCAACTGGGATATTTACTCTATATTAAAAGGATATCATTCTCTGTGGGGACCAATTAGTGTGACTATGGACAACTGAGGCTAAGGCTGATTCATATATACTGACATGACTATACTTACTTTGTGACTTAAATAAAAGTGGATTTCATGTGATGGTGTACCACATTGTCCATGCAATGTTTGTCATAAGAAATATCCAGTCACTTTTTTTATATTGTTACAGTTCAAGGAACCCAAGGCTACTTTTGTTATGTGTTTGGGAATGAAAAACAGCTAGAGATGTTTGTACTTAGAACAGTTAAATGCTGAAATGCACTAATTAATTATGTTTGGCCTTTAAAGCCAAAGATTTGTAATTTTATAAACAGTCAAATCAGGAAGTGACTAAATTATGTACTGGCAAAGTTTACTGCCAGTGGGGATGCTACTTGTATTTCATTTGTTAACATTTATGCTATTCATTTTCATTCACATGAAGTCCAAATCGTGGCTACAGCGAACCTTGAAACACATAATGGACTATGTAGGGAAGTTGCTGTTGTGATATTATTGTATGTAGACAAAATCTTCATCCATTTTCAAATTTAGGAGTATCTTAAAAGCAAGTAAGTTTATGTCAAGGATGACTTTAATTGAAGAAAAATAACTTTTTTAGACTGCGGCGTTGCCAAGGGGGTGACAGCCCCCCTGATGCAATCACTTGCCACCCCGCTGGGCCTCTCTTGCTTCTGTGATACTTAATGCATAATTTGCTTCCATCTGATATTTTTAGGAACTATTCATTTGAAGATCCAGTGTGTAGGATTTAGTGGTGTAATTACAGATGTGCAATTTCCTCGCTTCACCCTCTTCTTCCAAGTGCGAAGGAGAAACTTTGGTGGCAGCGAAACGTGCATAAAAATTAAAATACCCTTAACTAAAGACAGTGTTTGGTTTGCCCTTTCTGGGCTAGAAACATGAAGGCAACACTGTGGTGTTTGTAGATATAAATGGCTAATTTTAAGGTAACAAAAACACAACGATTCCTATATTTAAGTGATTATACACTAATGAAAACATAGTTATGCATATTATATTCCATTTCTGCCCATGGATCACCTTAAATGTTACCCACTGGATCTTTAATTAATGATGTATATTTTTCATAATAGTTCATGTGAAAGAAAATAATAAATGCAGCCAGCCACTTTTTATGTCACATGTCAACATCAGTTTGATTCATATCTTTAGCGGGCACTTATTGGGTTTGTAAGTCTAGACAGTCACCTGTTGGTTTTAAAAGATGTGATGGTGCACAGCTTGAATCTTTGTCGTGCATCCTCCCACACTCGCACATCACCCCTACAGCCCGATCACTGGGAGAAGCGGATAAGAAACCTCTGTGTGCATTCATGAGGTGAAATAACCAAATTTACCAAACCTTGACGCAAAACACTTTCGCCTTGTGATGCCACAGTGACGTCTGATGAAACGATGACACGGTGACAAGAGGGAAGAGAGATGGATGAAGGGGGGCTGTGTAAGTAGGTGGGAAGGTGGGTGTGGAGATGAGGAGAGGAGGGGGTGGGGTGGGGGGGATCATTGGCTCTTATAAACTGAGGGAATGGAGCCCACTGCACTTCACAACCAACCAGAAAACTGCAAGGCAGGGGAAGCTTTTTTGAGGCTGGAAGAGAAGAAGAAGAGGAGGAAGAAGAAGAAGAAGCAGTAGCATATACAGATTCCCTCTGCAGCCTCTTTAGCTGTCTGTGTCTGACCCCTAACCTTATGGACTAGATTCCTCCTCAGGTGATTTCTTCAGTGTGGGATTTTTTGTTTTTGTTTAATTTCTCACCAAGATGCAGGCACAGCTGGCATGTATGCTTCTCCTCTGTTTCACATGTGGTGGACTTTGCACAGGTAAGCACTGGGGCTCTTTCAACAGGTTTTGAATTTATGCATTATGTTATGATATTATTTATTTATTTATTGTTATCTTTCACAGTAACAAAATAGGGGAAAAGCCATGGCATTCAAGCAGAGTATGGAACAGGTCCAGCTATTTCTCTAGCACACAACAGGTGCATCATTTTGGTGTTATTGTATATCACCAAAAAGGTAACTCAATATTCTGAATCATGGGAATATTTCCGTTTCTAAAATAATATTTTGCACTCAAAAGCTTCTTCATAACATTATGATTGTCTGAGTTTGAGTTCCTGGATTGAATACTGAAATGCCATGGCTGCCAAAATGATTCATTCTTAAGGTGGTAACTTTTAAACTCAGGTAAACTCTAAGTAAAATATATATATATTTCTTTAAGATGATTTTCTACACAAATTGCTTACTTAGTGCTTCAGGATTTCTCTTTCAGGCTGTTGTAAACCCCTTTTCCTCAATGATCCAGAGATGCCTCTTTTAAATGTTTTAGAACCCATTTGAACCCATGTTTGTACAAAATTAGCTTTAATTACTTAATTACTTAAATTACTCACCGCTGAGTAAATCATATTTATTTGTTATTTTCTATTTTGAAACATTAATTTATTTCGGATTAAATACAAGCTAAACTCAATGCTTTTAAATCCTATGTCTATGTACATGGAATTAGTTAGATAAAGTCACTTTTGGTCCAGCGAGCCATGGAGGAGTCAAATTGAACTGTAAGATGGAACAATTTGTTCATGCTGAGAAATAACTTTGTATACTGTTTTAAAAATGTGTTGAATTGACATGGCTTTATTAGGAAAAAAGTGTTTTGTTTCACTCTCAGGACACACTTCGTACCCCGTACGTCAGTAGTGTGTCACCTGTTGAATGCCTGTTGTGGGGTGTCATCAAACAGTGCTTGAGATATAAATGCTGCAAACTCTTCCGAGCTCACAGAGAGGATGAAACAGCTCAAATGTCTTTCTTATGCAGCGAATCACTAAGGATTCACTTAACTCTTGATTAGATTTGCTTAAAGGTTATATTCCTATTTCTCTTCTTACTCACAGACATCAACCAGGACCAGCGAGCGCTAGAAGAGGAGCTTCTCAGCAGTCTCTTCACTTCTAAGGTATGGGGTCTCTCTTTGCACCTGTGACATCAGAGACCGAGAGTCCAAAAAGCTACAACCCACCCGGTCCGTTAGTTACCCTTCACATCTTTCAGCTGACCCAACACACAGACTGCCCAGGTGTTCTTTCATGAAATCTGGATCTATGCTTCAGTCATGGCTTCACCTTTTGCTTGCGTTCATGCTGAGTGGGAGATAAATAATTTATTCTAAGAGGCTTTTTAACTTATATTTGGAATGGCCTTGTTTTGATTGGAAAGTAAATTTAAGTTTTTTTTTATGTGCAGAGCAAAATCAGTATAATCAACCCATTCCAGTTCCTGCAGTCATGGCCATGTCCTTTGAGATGAAAAGAAAATAAGATCTTAGGCTGAGGGAAGTTATTTAGTTGTAACCAATAGCATAGTAGTGTCTAGAGAAGTAGATTTTCTTTTTAATATATGCCCACAATTATTTTTTTAAAGCGGCCTGTCCAGCAAAGGATAAACACGTTGTGTTATAAACGGTGACATGTAAGACTACTCTTGCGTATTTAGCTCACACAAAAATGGGCCAGTAGTATTTGCACATTGTCACTTAACTTCTGCTGCTTGACTTCAGGGAGTAAGAATTAATATGAAATTAACATTAGCCACAGTAGAGGTGCCGATTTTGCATCAATACTGACGCACAGATGGGTGAGACAACTACATAATGATGCATTTTGAGTGTAAATATTCCTGATTCTCTACTCCATCCACAGAAAACAAATTCAACTCGCAGACCACCACTGAATGATGCACATCAGTGGGGATTTAGAAGTGGGTAAAAAAAAGGTCTAATCCATATACCTGCGTATAACCTGCACTACACAACTGGTTGTAACTTTATTATTTTTAACACATTCATCTGGTGGTGTGAGCTCAAAGCAAGGCAAAGCTGAGAGATGAAGTTGGTGAAAGTGGAACTGGAGGTACGAGGAGACAGATGGCCGAGCCTAATAGGATTCAGATGGACATGACAGCATCATAACGACACATCTTTTACCTCTCTGTCTCTCTGATAAATAACCCTGCTGCTCGTATGGAGACGTGACGGAGACAAATCAGCCATGTGATTCATTGCTGCTGATGCTCAGAGGTTGCTCAAGGGTGATGATTGTAATAATAACTTGCCCGGATGACAGAGTGCTCACGAGCCTGGGGAGCACAGTATTTTCAAAAGATTCTTGTGGCTCTCTATCTAATTTTAACAATATACAGGAACTTTTTTGAGGCGACAACTAAATTGATTGAGCTGCTTGTACTCTTCTTTTTATCTGATTAGACGCAGGAGGTAGATTTCCTCTCTGGCTCTTATTTCTCTTTTGAACATGATTGCATTATAGCACAGCCAGGGTTCATCTGTTAGCTTGGCGGATTTGGCATTGACCCTTCTACTCCCTCTCATTTGTTTTGCATTTTGGAGTGTAGATTGAGCTTTGGGGTAATTTTAAGTCGCTTGTTGTGAAGACGTTGAGGAGATTTTCTAAAATGTCACATAAAAGATCTCATAAAAACAGCATGACTTGATTTGGCTGTAGTGGCTTAATGTTGCACTCACCAAGCCAGTCTCTGACAGAAAATTCAGTTGTCCCCCACTGGGAATAGTTTGAATACTGGACCACTGCATCAACTCTTCATCCCACTCCTTGAAGATATTGATTTCACTTGCATTACGGCAGGGACTTCTGATGAAGCCACATGAGGAACAATTCTTCATGTGACCTTTTAGCACAATTAAAACTACACCTGGCCCCACTCACAAAGTTAATTTAAAACAAAATGAAAACCACAGAAATCTTTAATGCATGAATTATTTCAAAATGTCAGTAGCTACTTATGTCTTGTCCCTGGTGTGTTGTTCTCTTGATGTCTCTACAGCTTTTATTACATGTCTCCCCCTGCCCCCCGGCATACAAAAGGAACCTGTATTTGACATGGCTACTGTCTTTACAACATCAGAGGAGACTATATATATTCCTCTGCTGCTCATAAACAATGTGAGTCTTAGGGCTTGTGGCCATTTACAATACCTTAAAAGCGCCAATATCCCCTCGCCCTCTGAATCTCTCCATCATCCTCAGTGACACCCAATGGTCTCTGTGGCAGCATGTCTGAGTTTGCCGACCCACGGACAAGGGGCCCCCCGGGTCCCTCCACCATCTTAAAGCACTCAGACTAGATTATAACACAAAAGGCTGCAGCTTGATGAGGTTAGATGTGACTGAAATATCACTCTGGGTGTCTGGTGCCTAAGAATGTTTAGGCAATAGTACACATATATCTTAACTGCTGTCTTTCTTAATATGTGGCAGTCTGCATCAGTGCTCACAATATAAAGTGGAAATCTCAAACACAGCATCCTCTGTGCCTTTTAAAGGGACCTGCCAAAGTTTTTATTGCTTCAGCTGTAAATAACAGCAAATAAAATTGTTCTGAGTGTGGAAAACCTCCAAAATGCCATTTAGAGCACAGCACTTAAATGCAGCAAATGAAATGCATTGTGGTGGGTTAGCAGCTCATTAAGGCAGGCTGAGCCACTGCATCTGTTTATAAAACTTAAGCTATGGGAGGATTAGTCCTTTCATAGCCTAAATTCAAATCAGTATTGTTAATTGATATATAAAAGACAAAACTGAACACATTTATTCATGATGAGTGAGATTCAGAACTGGGACACGAGACAAAGATAATTTTGAAGATACTGAGATACATGGCTACATCATGAAAGACGATTTCTCCGACATAAGAATTATCTCTACAATCTGTACATATGGAAGGCTGAATTACAGACACTGTACTGCATCACTTTGTAAACTTACCATTCAGGGGTTCTTTACGCTACATTTAATGCTCAAAGCAACACATTGATGACCAAGGAAAAAAATACCAAATTTCATTTTGTGCAGAAAGGCTGAATGTTGAATAGAGAAATACAATAGACCATCAAATTTAAAATCGGTTTTTACTTCACGTCAGTTCATAACGCTGACCAAAACCTGAATTAAGTCAACCCTCCACAGCGAGGATCTAATTTATTGCCAAGTTTCGAATTTGGAAAAACGATAATTTCCTGAATTCAATTTGAAACCTAACCCTTTTCAAACTTGTCCCCTCTTTGCAGATGAAACAGAATAAGCAGAGTGCCCCCTACTGGCGTGTGTCACTGACCAACCTGTGCAGGATGGTGAGCGGCCTGAGGCAGGAGGCGTGGAGTGGCGAGGAGGAGGAGGATGGCGAGCCGAGGGAGGGGAGCCGAGGGCTGCTGGAAGAGCTGTACAACCTGCAACATATCTGCCGAGCGCTGCAGAGTCGGGAGGAGAGGGTGAGACACACACACACACACACACACACACACACACACACACACACACACACACACACACACAGTGGTGGAAGAAGTCCTTTACTTGTAAGTGTATTTAATGTGTATTTTATTGATGCAGCTATAGAGATTTAATTTTATAAATAACTTTATTGTCTTATCCTTGACAGTAGTAGTGGTGTGTATTTATGTGTGACATGTATATTCAAATTTATGTGTATTATCTTTAACTGTTTAAGTGAAACATTTGATCATAAGTCACCCATCGGTGGTTTAAATTGTGGATGTGTTAAAATGGAAGATAAAAAGTTCAATCTTTTTAATAGATTCCCATTGTCTCAGATTAGTTAAATGACAACATTAAACTACATGCTGCTCTATAAATAAAGATATCCCTTTTTAAATGTCAAATATATATAATAATCCAATTTAACAAGACTATAGCTATAGCTTAGTTCAATTTTGTATCCAACAGCAGCAACATTTTATGAGCTTATCTCATACTGAATGTCTGCAAAACAACTTGTGAGAGATGTATGAGAGTACCGAGTATGGAAGAGGGAAAGAGTTTTCCCTTTGAAATAATTTTAGAAGGAAACAGATTCTGGTTCAAATGTAGTACAGAAAAAAAATAAAGTAGCTAAATACAGACCAGTGTCATTAAATTGTATTTATAAATAAGCTAGTAAAGCCAATAACAGCATGCCTTGGCCAATATAAAAACACACATACACACACTCACATAGACACAGGCTCATACATACAGGCTTACTCTAAATCTCATTCACAACTCATGAAAACCCATCCATCCTCTCTCACAGTAAACACACCTCATTAAACCCCCCTCCTCCTTGTCTCTTCCTTCCTTCCCTCCATCATTTTCCTTTCACCTCTCAGCTCCTTACACAACAGCCTTTTTTTTTTTTTTCATCTTAACACAGTGCAGATTAGCACCTGTTTTACTATGCATGGAAGCACAGAGCAGAAGCACTCGTTTAATCACAGCTACACTGGTATTACCCTGCCACTCAGCAACAATACATGTGTTTGCCTGCCATTTTCCTCCTCCTCGTGTGACACTCACACGCCGCTGTGTCTCTCTCTGCCCCTAACAGCTACTCAATGACTCTCTTGAATATTTAGAGGAGAACAGTGACAATCCGCTGAAACGAAAATCGCCCTACATTCTGAAGAGGCAAGCAACGCACACCACCAAGTCCCGGAGGCCGTACATCTTAAAACGAAGTACAATTTACTGACAAACCATCCCAGAGAGGATCAGACCATATACTTTCTGTGAAGATGTGATCGTGTTTTTTTCTGTCTTCTCGTAGCTGCAATGTTTTTTCTTTTCCCGTTGTCGTTTCTATCCAGTCAGACCCTTTGATTGTATGTCCAGCATTGAGGCCTGCCTGTATTTTTGCTCCTCTCAAGTATAGGTCCTGAAAATAAAATCCTGAGCGTCAAGCAAATTGTGTATCTCTGAGAAACTGTATTTATTTACTCTATTTCTTCACTGCACACTAAGTCCTATTTTCTTTCAGGATATGAGTAAAGGATTCATGATACAAAACCAGTTTGATGTGATGATCTTTTCTTTCATGAAACTGCTTCCTTAAACTAGTTTACCAACCGTCTCTCTCTAAGCCCTTCTCACCCACTTCATGTTTACCCCAGGGCTGGAACTACATACTACTCAGTCCTGCGACCAGAAATACTAACCCAAAACCAAATGTTTATTAATTTGCAGCTGCAATTAAACCCCAATAATGGCACTTTTTACTTCATTAATTCAGTCAGCCAACTCAAGTTTGAAATGTTTATTAATTATTATATTTATTAGCAGTAAAGCATATTTAGATTTTGGCGTCTAGGCTCCGACCTCATCACTCCCCACAGATATGTTTACATAGAGATATTGGGGAGTGATGCGCAGATACCTTAACCCCCAGTTGGAGCCTACAGGTGGATGCTGGGGTGGTGGTGGGGCTTACAGAGCAGCAGCAGCAATACGGATGCAGGGCAACAGCAGCATTGAGAGCTGGGAAATTGTGCAGTTTAAATAGACCGCCAGATTGGAAGGGTGCGCTTGGTTAGTGATTATGGAATAAGGCATGTCATGTGTGTATATCAGTGCAGCTCGAGTTGACTGCCTGAACTAGCTCGCAGGCTTTGCTCCATTTGAAATCACCTAAAAATAAGAATCTTGTTTTTGTTACCTCAGAATGAGCTTTTTTAAAATCTGCCGACGCTATGGGTTGCCTAATATGAAGGCCTTCATGTTGAACCTCCATGTTTCTACAGTAGCCCAGTACGAACAAACCAAACACTGCCTCAAGATAGGGCTGTTCTTGCTTTTTGTGAATTTCACAGCCACCGTTTCTCCTACATGCTTGGAAGGGGAGGATGGAAGTGAGTTGAAATCTGTACTGCTGCCACTAAATCCTACACACTGGCCCTTTAATGGAATTTGCTTACAATAAGAGAAATGTGAAATAACACCAACCTTAGTCTTATTGTAATTATTGTAATTTTTATTATTTGTTGCCTAAAATTTAGAATATGTTTATTTCAAAATGTGTCACTTTTTTGGGGGGGCTTTTATTGCCTTTATGATAGAGACAGCTGAAGATGGACAGGAAAGTGGCACAGAGAGAGTGGGGATGACATGCATAAAGGGCTGCAGGTTGGATTTGAACCCTGGGCTGCTGCAACAAGGACTCAGCCTCAGTACATGGGTCGCCTAAAATCTGTCACTTTTAACCAAATTTGATATAGGAAAAAATGGTTGAAATGTTTAAAAGCCTGTGCCTGTGTACACTCATGTTATTATTCCCATGAGATTCACTGCCGCCTGGTGTTGCTTATCTTCTTCCACAGTGTTTCTTTATTAAAGGGATTCTTGATTTTGTGCCTCACAACAATATTATAAATCAATCCAGCAGATTTAGTTAGATTTAACTCCACTGGGAAATAACCTATTTTTCACAAATCTGTAAAATGAGGATAAAAAAAGCCCAGTAGATGCTGCCAGTCTGATAGTGATATTCAATACTACAGTCATGTCTGGAAATTGAATAATTCTTGATGTTACAATTCAGCACATTGCACCCTTAACATAAACATAGTACGCTTTGGGTCAGTGTGTGCTCTTATTAATATGTATGGTGTTTAACATTTATTTAAAAGGGCATGAAGGCACTTCAACTGCAGCAGATAAAACAGACTTTGACTGCGGCAAATGAGAGTCTTGGCCTTAATAAATGGCAGTTTCATCTCCAAATCAAAGTGCTTTAGTGTCCTTCTTTGAAACTCTGCTCTTCACCCTGACAGACAGAAAGCCTGGATGAAGTGCAGTGCACAGAGAAACACGCTTTGAACAGCCTAGTTCTGTTTCTCCAGAGAAGGTTAGCTGCAGGAAAAACATTAAAACATACTCTTTCCAATCAGCATTCTGCTACATGTGTGGCTTTGCTTGACAAATTGACAGTGGCACCTGCCCAGTTTACACTGTTAGCCACTGAGCAGGTGAGGTAGTATGGTTGGATTTTGGTTTTCAAGGAAAGAAAAAGCACTTCCCTCAGCAGACACTTGACTTTGTTTTATTAAAACAGAACATCCGTTTTGATTGTATCTGTGTGTCTTCATCTTTCCCTGAGGCCCACTCATCTAACAAGCTGATTGGTGCCACATAATTATCTACAAATAATTTGTTTTGTTCCATCTATAAAGCTACAGCTACACTTGTCAAGATGTGTGTATCAGTAGTTCGCAACCATATATACTGTCGATGTTCCCAACCTTTTTCTTCTCTATCATTGAGCAAACTGTCAACCCCTGACTAAGTAATATATTTTATGGATATTTCATATTACGTTTAAAGCATAACAATACAACTGACAACAAGACTGTTAAGCAGAGAGTGAAGGCTCTGTGAATATAGCTTGTGTTCAGGTCCTCACCATGCCCTCATCCTGTGAGAGGTTATATCTTAAATAATAATCTAATTGTCATTTAGTTTTCTTCACAGAAATGAATGAAATGCTAAAATATAGGTATATATATATATATATTTTTGTTTAAGTTTTCGTACACCCCTTAAAATCAAGAAGGCCTTTCAACCCTCCCATAAAGCTTTGGGGACTCCTGGTGGGGGTTTGGACCCCCTGGTTGGGAATCAGCGTGTTAAGTGGCAAATCAGCAGGCAGAAAAAAAGGATTTCTATCATGCTGAGATTAGTACTTCAATACCAGATATAAATGTGAGCTTGCTCAGTTATCAGTATCCTGCACAATCTGAACTCAGTTCAGCTATAGTTTGCTTACAATCTCACAGTAACATGTTTAAATATCGGACTTTTGTGATAAATCCTGAATTTTATTTTTAGGTGGTACCAAAAAGTTGAATCCAAATATAAACATTCTATACAAAATCTCAAAAATCCCATAATCATCTTTTAATGTATGCACACAGACCCCTAATAATACATTCATGGTCACTTGAATGAAAGAATAATGCCTTAGGTTTTCCTCACTTTGTAAGTTTTGGGCTTTAAATTAGGCGGTGAAACACCTCAATCACAATGCAAGAGCAGACAGAGAAGCTACACATTAACATTTAGGGCTTTGTTTAGTTTTTCTAAGGATCAAAATTTAGTTCTTAGTACTACCCACTAACATTATTATTACACATTGATCTCAGAGTCAGTGGTCGTCAGTACACCACACTGTAGTATAGAGCCACGCCGATAGTTTGGGTCTTACTGTATTCTGACGTTTTATGTGTCTCAAGAAATGTAATGTAAATGTGAATAATATGCAGACCTCACTATTAACAGATTTCCATGGGACAATTTTTTTGGTAGGAAAATGAAATGAAAACTTTAAACGCAATTTTTCAATTCTTTGAGCGTGAGAGAAGAAAATGACATCCACCTCCATTATACTGACAGCAGAGATCTCAGAGACAGATATCTTAAAACATCAGCAGGTAAAACTTCATCTAACTGCACTGCTGGATACCATTAGATGTGAGGTGAACCAATCCTTTGTTATGACATGTCTCAAAAGCAACATAAAAAGATAGAGACACCACACTGGTTAAATGCAAAAGATATACAAGCAAAACACCAACTCAGAATGGCACCTAACATCATTAGTATGAAAAGTTTAAGACCCATTTCTGGGTAATGTATCAAATAAATGTGCTCTTTTTTTCTTGAATGAATGACCTCCAAGATGGAGCGGAAGAGTAGGGAAAGTATGTAATTCAGACACACAATAAGCAATATTCAGGTCAGCAAGATGTCGACACACATCATGGCATTTCATTTAATCAGACTGACCCCAGATTCAAATTACATAGGATGTAATCTGTAGCCATCAGTGTTCTAACTTTTTCTCCACTTTCAGGTAGATATTTATCCACTCAAGTTGCAAAAGTTGAGTTGCAAAGTTGCTGTTTAAACTTTCCCTCAACAATTACTGCTGAAATGCCTTTGAGTCAGACACTTGTAACAACAGTAAATGCTCCAGTAAGCTTCAGTTGGCTCCAGTTAAACTTGAATGTGTCAAATTGTTCATGTGTAGCAGGAAAAGGGCAAACTTTGCATAAAAAAAGGTAAAAAAAAAAAGAAAATAAATACCATAGGCAGCTTCCATTATTATTCCTCTCATGTCAGTGACCGCCAACAGTGCATGTGCCCATCCCAGGCAGCGGATGGCAGTGTTGTTTAACTAGACCAATGGCCTGATTTACGGTGTGAAGTGTCACAGAAATACAAGTATCCCTTCAGACATAGGAACACATTATTGAAAAACAGGCAGAAAATGAAAACTGCATTAAAGGAAGTCAATTAATTAAATCAGTTCCTTAAATAACAATAGAAAGTGACTAGAAACACAAATCCACATTTTCTCAATCTTTTCAATTCTACATTTTCTCTTTCACTAACCTCCCCTTTTCAAATGGAACCAAACTACAGCTCTGACGTTAAAGTACCTTAATCAAAGGTTGCTCAGAGGCAGCCTTTTTCTCACCTAGGGCCCTCATCCAGTTCTGCCCAGAGCATGGATGGGACCAAGAACCAAAACTTCAAAGCCTTCAAAGTGACTTAGCTCTTTACTCTGCATACAATAGGAAGGGGACACAAAAGGGGGATTTAATATTCTTATTTTAATAGACTTATTTTCGGGTTTTGTAAATGATGAAACAATGTGACAAAATCTATATCACCATCATAACACCTACAAAGAGTAAAAGCAAAAATGAAAGAGATCCAGTACATCTTCATTTTGATGGTTTTGACAGTGAAAAGGTCAGTGAAATCTGTATCTGTATGATGTTTCTATTTGGCCTTTGATTGAGAATATGTTAACTGATTGAGACCTTTTACCTAATTTTCCTCATACATATCAAATTTGACTCAGAGTTCCTTTTTTTCTCTGTTAACGGAGCACATTTAGTTGCGAAAAATGAAACATTAGCAGTCCCCCCAATAAAAGCTATGGTACCTCTCTGCAGGTTTTCACCATACATAAAGAGATACTTTTATCTAGGTGCATTAAAATTCCACAT